GCGAGCTTTTAATCCAACGGCTCTCCTTCCTTCTCACAAACCGTAATAATCGTCGCTCCCCACTCATTCATAAATAATAACAAAAAGAAAAATCTGCGGAGCCGAGACAAAAAAAAAAAAAAAAAAAAAAAACTCTCTCTCTCTCTCTCTCAGATCTGAGAATCTTTTTCTTCCTTTGTTCATCATCATCTCCGATCTAAACAACAATGGCGGCACCAGGAGCTTCCTCAGCAAGAGAAGAATTCGTATACATGGCGAAACTCGCTGAACAAGCAGAGCGTTACGAAGAAATGGTTGAATTCATGGAAAAAGTCGCAAAAGCTGTTGACAAAGACGAACTCACCGTCGAAGAACGTAATCTCCTCTCCGTCGCTTACAAAAACGTCATCGGAGCTCGTCGTGCTTCATGGAGAATCATTTCATCGATCGAACAAAAGGAAGAGTCTCGTGGTAACGATGACCACGTTTCGTTGATCCGTGACTACAGAAGCAAAATCGAAACAGAGCTTTCTGATATCTGTGACGGAATCCTTAAGCTTCTCGATACGATTCTCGTTCCTGCTGCTGCTTCTGGAGATTCGAAGGTGTTTTACTTGAAGATGAAAGGTGATTATCATAGATACTTGGCTGAGTTTAAATCTGGTCAAGAGAGGAAAGATGCTGCTGAACATACACTCACTGCTTACAAAGCTGCTCAGGTTTTCGATCTCTTTCTCCGATCTGTGACTCGATTTGATTTTGTATGATTTAGGTTTGTGAAATTTTGCTTTGGTTTTGGTTTTGGTTTTGTAGGATATTGCTAACTCTGAATTGGCTCCAACGCATCCGATTCGTCTTGGTTTAGCGTTGAACTTCTCTGTGTTTTACTATGAGATTCTCAATTCTCCTGATCGTGCTTGTAATCTCGCTAAGCAGGTTTGGATCTAATCAGAGGGATGTTTTTGATGATTATGTGTTTTTGTGTGTGTTTGTTGAGGTTTGTTTATGGATTTGTTAGGCGTTTGATGAAGCAATTGCTGAATTGGATACTCTTGGTGAAGAGTCATACAAGGACAGTACTTTGATTATGCAGCTTCTTCGTGATAACCTCACTCTCTGGACTTCTGATATGCAGGTATTTTATATATTGGCTGTATAAGTCATGTTTTGTTGCTTGATTACTGAAATCATGAGCTAAATGAGTTATTGTGAAAGACTAGATTTGGAAATGAATTGGTTTAGTTTACATTTGATGCATTCTTGTTGTCTGTTTCTGATTTTTGTGTGATTGTCAAATGTTTAATCCTGTTTTGTTCCTTGATTTGTGAAACCATGAGCATTTTTAATTCACGAAGAAAGACTGGATTTGGATATCAAACGGTTAAGTTTACACTGTGATGCATTCTTTTGGTCTAATTTTGATATTAGTTATTGTCAAATGTGTTTAAACTTGCTCAAGCCTGTTTTGTTACTTGATTTTTTAAACCATGAGCCTTTTTTAAGCCATTGAGGAAGACTACTTTTTGAAATCAAACAGTTTAGTTTACATTTCGATCCATTATTCTTGTCTGATTTTAGTGATGTCAAATGTGTTTTATCCTGTTTTGTTGCTTGATTTCTGAAACCATGAGCCTTATTAAGCCATTGAGGAGTACTAGATTTGGATATCAATAGTTTAGTTTGCATGTTGATGCCTTCCTCTTTTCTTGATTTTTCTGGTCTGATTCTGAATTTAATGATTGTCAAATGTGGTAATTCTGTTTAAGCCTGTTTTGTTACTTGATTACCGAAACCATGAGCCTTATTACGTCACTGGTGTAGACTAGATTTATAAAAAAATGTGTTTAAGCTTGTTTTGTTACTTGATTTCTGAAGCCATGAGCAAGATAAACCATTTAGGAAGTCTAGGTTTGGAAATCAAATCGTTTAGTTTACATTTTGATGCGTTTCTCATTTCTTCTTTCTTCTGGTCTGATTATGATTCTGATGATATTGTCAAATGTTTTTAATCAGGACGATACTACTGATGACATCAAAGAAGCAGCACCAGCAGCACCAAAACCTGCTGAAGAACAATCCTAAATCTTGCGGCGACTTGGTTGTTATTTCAGTATCTAAAACCTCTCCATTAATATGTTTTTCTCTTGGAGGAGTTTCTGTGTTGGTTTCTGATTTCCTTTTATCCCGAAGCTCTTCGAGGCAGTCTAATTCTTGTCCTTGTTCGCTTTTCTGAATCGTGGATACAAAAACTCGATTCCTATTATTTTTCTTTTTATCTGTTTCCATTTTATCGTGATTTGACTTCCATGTTCTGTTTCTTTGTTTGTAATGGATTCAACTTTTCTTTTTTTCAATGTCAAGAAAAATCTTTGGTTTATTTCAGCAATCAATTGCGTAATGAGTTCAAGTTTACTCTCAGGTATACATATAGTGTACATAGCTCATAGCTTGAGTTTGCTCAGATTGATCCGTTCGACAGGATATGTGTATGCCTCGAAGTTGATTTGTTGTCCTAAGCAACTTAGCTTTGTGAATGCTGTTATTAGATCAACCTGCAAACATGTTCATAAACCAAAACATGAGCTTGAGTTTGAAGTAGATGAATATATGATTAGGCCAAATCGAGTGCAAACAAACCTCGTAATCTGTCTGAGATACGGTTTCACGGCTTCTTTGGTACTTTTGAACCCATGGAGCAACTTGCGGGTCAGTAGCCAAGAGCTGTTCTGTTGCTAGTTGATCAGGACCCAAGAATGCAGACATTACAGCTAGCTACAAATCCCTCAAAACATTGATTCGAATACAGGTTAGTTACTTTGAATGATCAAATCCGATAACCGTATTTTGAAACCCATAATCATGTACCTGACGAGGACCCAATCCAATGGCAATGAACTTATCTTTCATCTCTTGCACAGTTGCTTTACCCCACTGTGGGACTCTGCCTTCTGAATCTGCCTCAGTTGCATCACTTCTTCCGAAATTTCTATCAAACAAGCCCCACTAACAGATTCACAACGGTTCAGTCTCGATTTGAACAATACTCCGCGACTCAAAACACATAAGATAGCATTGTTTACCTGACCAGCAGAACCATATGCTGTGTAGAGTAAGTTCCCTTTTTCTTCATTTCCACCACATTTGCGGATTGCCGATGCTAAAAACGTAGACTTGACCGCTGATTGTCCTATAGAAACCAACCCAAGAAAGATTTCAGTTACCACAATAATAATGCTGTTGATGAACATGTTTTTGGTATATGCTATAACATCATCACCTGCCAATTGAATGAGATCTGCATATGAAATAGGCCCTCCCTTCGAGATCGAGTCAATCTCCTTCTTCACATCCTCTATCAGACTCAACCCATCAGAAAGTCCCTCGTTCTCTGCTCTACTTAGCTCAGAGCTTCACAAAATGAAAATATTGAATGAGACATCATGTAAAGATTACACTTATAATGTTCTTAGATCATATACCTGAACCGAATGGATCCATTGGCTCCCCCGGACTTTGTAGCCTATACAAAAAGCCAGCATTAATGGTAAAGAGTTGTGCAACCACTTCAAAGAGATGGATAAGATAATTATATGAAGCCTGACCTTATCATAAGTCATTGCATCATTGAGAGCTAGTTTGAGTATGGAAGGTAAAAGCTCCGGTTTAGCCTTAATGGCACTCGAAAGCGTAATCTTGATCTTTGCTGCATAATAAACATGAAATCTATAATGTCAATAACAACAACCTCTTGGTACTACACTTGTGTTCTTGTTTTAGAACTCACATTGAAGCTCGGATCGTTGTCTACGTTGATTCAAATCAGCAGCATTTGCATCACCCACATGATTAATGAAACCATTGCCTATTAATTCCTAACAAGAGAGATCATCACTGCCAAAAACTCATCAAATGTTGACATGAAGATTATACATTACAATGTCTCATTTAGACCAAAGTTTTAAGTAATTTGATTTTGAGTAAAGGGTTAATGTACCATTCCCATGGCAGTGCCGGTGAGTTTGAGAACATCACGGCGGTGGAAAGCTTAAACTTTCTCCGGAAACTTGAGGGTCAATCTTGCAACATCTTATGACAGCCTGATTAGAGATCAAACAAAATTTCAAAATCAGAATATAATTGTTAAGACAAGAAAGAAAAGAATGTGAAATGGTTGGAAACTCACAGAGCGATGAGAAGAAGAAGAAGAGAGTGTAGTGAGATGTTGATGATTGGTTGTGTTGGTGAAGGAAGGAACAGTGGAGAGGAAGGAGACTCCTCCCATTTCTGGTTTGTGATGAGACAGAGAAGAGAGAAGAAAGAAGAGAGAGTTGTCTGAAGAAAATGGAGAGTGTGTTTTGGTTTTGTGAAGGATACACTTTTGTGGATTCTCTGTTATCCAAATCTCCCAATCAAATGGGTCCATCTGGTTTCATCAATTAACTCCTTTTTTCTTCAGGATGAGTTTACTCATAATACTGTTTTAAAAAAAATTTATCATATCACAAGTTTAATCTGTTAAAATTATGTGAACTAATTTAATACTTTTAACAACAATATATTAAAAAGTTAAAAGATTTTTTTTGGCGGTTAAAAAGGCAAGGATATTTTTATTCACGTCCCGCTTTGACTTACCATTTTACTGGTTGGTTAAAATAGAAATGGTACACCTATTACGGTAGTACTTAGTAGTTAGGCCTGGGCAAAATATCTGAATCCAAATATCCGAATCGAATCCGAAGCCTATCTGAATATTAAGAAATATCAGAATGGGTCCTAGACTTCTACACCCAAAGAACCGAACCCGAACTCAAACCGAACCGACAACAGAACCTGAATAGTACCAAACCGAACCCAATCCGAAGTTTTAAATTCCCCGTACGGGTCCTATGAGTCTAAACCCGAAAACCCCAAATACCCACCCCTGGTTACCAATCACAAGACTTATCTTCCGCATAATTTTGAAGTGGTATAAACCAAGAGAAAGGGAATTGAAGTGGAGAAATATTGGAAACTAGGATTCATTGGATCTAATTCAAACCTTCTATTTTATTAACTCAATATCGCCATAACTTGCTTGGAGTCGTTGAATAACAAAGTGTATCAAGGATCATAGAACAACACAGTCCTTAAGTGAAGCTAACGAAGACTTTAAGACATATTTCTTCTGACTTCTTCACTTGGAGGCTTCAGTTGACTCGGTTGTTTTGTTGACGTCTAAAGGACACTGTGATACATATGGTTTCAGCTGTAAAGTACAATTGTTCCATCAGCAAAGCTAAAAAACACACAAAGCTTGCTAATGCATTAAGTAAGCATTCTATTTCAGGTTCCCAACACAAAATTTACACCAAACAAGATCATCAAGATCACACACGCCTAAGGAGCTTCGACTTATATATGATTTATAAAGGGATTTTGTTCTAGTGTTCAATTAGGATGCAATCTATATAATAAAGGAACAGAAGAATTTAGGGTGAAATGAAAAACACACAACAAGCTCAAGAAGTCTGCATTTTATTTAAGCTTAGTAACATAAAACCTACAACGAATAAGATCAACAGGATCACAAACCTAAGGAACTTCAACCATTACGAGTTTACGACATGTAAAAAGATATCTGAAGGGATTCACTATTGTTTTGTTCTCATGTTCAATATCGAGGAATCAAAGAAAAGTAACAGAAGAGTTCAGGATAGAATGAAAACCTTAAAGCCGGTCAAATCAGGGACTACGTAGTTTGGCAATTTATGTGGCTGCACAACATATCCTCCTGCAAACCATGTCACAAACTTAGAGAACATTTAACAGAAGTCACAATTGTAAACACTTTATATTATACATTCTATGAATAAAGAATCTATGATGATCAGTTTTGCCAAAATTGTCCGAGTCCTTTATCTAGAATCTGGTATCTTAAGCCATGTAAATTCCTGAACTTCGCTAATAATAACTCTCCTTAGCTTGCACATATCTAATTCAAACAAGTTGAGATTATGCACTACAATTTATATCACCAACAACAAATTTCAATCATCAAATTGATGAGAACATAACCGTATAACCGGAGTAAACCGACGTTAGCCATGTTGAAGATAGATTTGAGTTTATGTTGTCTTAGCTTATCCTAAAGTAGTGGGATTGCATCTCCACTCTCTCACGTTTCTTAACCACTAGATTTAGTGGTTAGTTTCTTTCTTTATTTTGTGTATTTAAACATCATCGATTAGCAAGTGAAGAGAAGGGAAAAAATTGTAGTAACTTGTTCTAAAGTCTTTGAGAACCAAAGTGTTCTTGCCTCTGTTCTCGATAGCATTGATTGTCCTATAACTGGGACCTATCACAAATACTTTATATTATGACCAATTCGTCAAAATTGAGTTCAAAGTTGTTAGCTTTCCTCCTAAAGAATCTGGTATCTTAAAGCATGTAAGTTGTTTGCATATATCTAAAAATTCAAACAACTTTGCATTATCCGGTACTATTTCCATAACCAAGAACAACATTCAATCATTAACCACTAAACAACATAAATCTCAATTGCAGCATGACAAGGGCAACAATTTGCTCCAGATTCAGGTGAATCGGATGAAATATGCTTCAAGTACTATGCACTTTTACAATCAATTTGCCAAATTTGAGTTCAAGATCTTAGCTTTCCATCTAAAGAATCAAACTTAGCTGAACATAGCGGTCACCCCTTAGATTGCAAATATCTAAAATGCAAATAACTTTGCATCATCGTCATCAAGAAACAACTATCAGTCATCAACCACTATACAAGTATTCATTGAAACAACATAAATCTCAATTGCAGCATGACAAGGGCAACAAGTTGTTCTAGATTCATGTAAAAAATGAATGAAATGCGTCAAGTGTTACTCGTTTTCACGGATCAATTTGCCAAATTTGAGTTCAAGCTCTTAGCTTTCCACCTAAAGAATCAAACTTTCAATCACCAATTACTAAATAAATGTACATGGAAATGATAACAAGTTGTTCCATCTTCATATCAAAATGAATAAAATGTGTCAAGTATTATACGTTTCGCGGTCAATTTACAATATTTGAGTTCAAAGTTCTTAGCTTTCCACTTAAAGAATCAAACTTAGCTGATAACAGCTCTCCTAACATCATCATCATCATCAAGAAACATCTTTTCAATCATCCTTCACTAAACAAGTATGCAAGTAAAAACAGATTGATTCTGTCATATTGAAGCATGAGAATTGGATTGAAAAATGAAACCTTTTCTAGTGTGGAAACCAGGAGGTTTACAGTTTTTCCCCTTGTAAAAGTCTCTTGGAGCTCGTTTGGGAGAGAGAATGTCAAGCGAAGAAGCTCGCTTTCTTCGAAATGTTCTTCCAATTCCCAATAACAACCCTAATGTCATCTTCCAAATCTATCAAATCTTGGTAAAATCGATTAAAAATCGAAACTTTAGTGAGTTTTCGAAAGTATCAAATGTAGAAGAAGAGGAGAAGAAACCGTCGGAGATTTGCATAGAATCAATGGCTGGAAAGCCACTTTCTGAGGAAATAAACGTTGGAATGCCATCTTTCTATTTTAGTTTTATTTGATGAATAAAATTTAAAAGGATTTAAATCAATTATTATGAAATGACGAAAAACTCAGTCAAAATATCTAACATCTGATCTCGTCGACCCGTTACGATTTATCCGATCCAAGCCCAATGATTTTATCCAGCGAAGCCCATCCGACGAAGCCCAACTGTGTAAAAAACAAGAAAACGATATCGTTTCATTCAATCTCACTGAAGAAAATCGAATCGATTCCCCTTTCTTTCATTTTTCGAAACCCTAAGTTAAAGTTCTGATTTCTTCGATTTCTTCTCCGATTTCTTCGATTTCTTCTCTTATATCGTCCATTTCTTCTCCATTCTCACCTTCTAAGTCGAATTTCGCATCGCCCTTTTCCCTGTTCATATCCAAATCCGTAAATCCGTCGAAATCTGGGGAATTTGTTAATGGCTCGTGTAAGAGACGGCGAAGGGGTGTATGAATCGACGGCGAGGCGTCCGACAGAACCAGCGGATGCTTCGGTTGAACCTGAAAGAGAAACCGCATATCCGACAGAACCCGATGCTTCTATGGTGAAACCTGGAAGTGAAACCGTCGGGATGCAAACTGATCCTACAGAAGAAGCAGCAGTTGATGCTTCCGAGAGTCAACCTGGAAACGAAACCGTCGAGTTGGAAAGGAATGATGCTGAAGGACAAGCAATAGAGAGTCCGATAGAACAGAGTACTGAAGCAGTAGAGGCTGCAGAGGAGGAACTCGTGGGTGCATCAGAGGAAGAGGACGAGACCGTTACTGCTCAGGTATACATTAGCCTGAGAATGGATTATTGGTATTCATGGTACAACTAGTTCAACTAGTGAATTAGGTTGTCTTTGAATATGAGTATATAAAGTTTTGAATTTATTTCTTGGTATAATTGAATCAGAGAATATATAGGTTTAAATTTATTTCTTGGTATAATTGAATCAGAGAATATATAGGTTTGAATTTATGTGTCTTGATACAACTAGTTTAACTTCTCCCGATTATATATATGTTTGAATTGTGTGTTTTGATATAAGTAGTTCAACAACTTAAACTCAGCGATTGTGTTTTGAATATGCAGGATACATATGAGGAAGAGGATGATGCTGCTGGTAATGCTGGTGAAGAGGATGAGCATCGTGATGTTGGTACTGGTAAATATGGTATAGAGGCTGAAGAGGATGTTGGTATAGAGGAGGAGGCTGCTGCTAAAGATGGTATAGAGGAGGAGGTTGCTGAAGCTAGTAAGGACGTTGCTGGTATAACAGCTGATGATGATTATGATAATGATGATGATGAAGATGATTCCCAACCACTTCCGCCAGAGAAGATGTGCTTAGATAGTTCAGAATACACCAAAGGGTGTAAAATAGGAACTAGGTGTAAAGTGACTGAGATAGTGAACTTGATAGAGAAAGAGTTTAAAGACGAGGCAATATGGTTCAGAAGTCACTCTCAGTTCAAGCATGTATTCCACATGACTAGGGAGCCAAACCACATGACTCAAGGCATGTGGATGCTTATGCTGCGCACAGTTGACACAGATCTGGAGAGGGAGTGTTGGTTTGTGGTTAATGGAGTACCTATTAGGTATTCCATCAAAGAGCATGCATTGCTAACTGGGTTTAATTGCAAGGAATACCCGGAGAAGCATGAGGAAATGGGGAATTTGAGGTTTGTGAAGAGAATCTTCCAAAGGACTGAGAAGATAAAGGCATCTGATGTATTAGCTAAGTTGAAGGGAAAGAAGAGTTGGAAAGGAGCTGATAAGAAGAAGTTAGTAGTCTTGTATTTCTTATGCAAGATACTAAAAGCAAGCTCAAAAAGTGATGGAAACATAGAATCCTTTCTCTTAAGGATTGTTGATGATTTGGATGCATGTGAGACATATCCATGGGGCAGGTATTCATTCTCAGAATGTATGAAAGGGATCCGGAATATGATGAAGAATTTGAATGGGTCTGTCAAACCTAAAGCTCAACCTAGCTTTAGTGGATTCATTGTACCTTTGGAGGTAATCCTTTGTTTTTGATGTCTGAGTATTTGAAGTTGTATATATTGTTTTATGATATTAATTGTGTGTGTTTTTTTGTAGATTCTGGCTTATGAGGCTATTCCACATCTTGGACTGAAATATAGAGTACCTGTACGTGCAGCAAATGACTGTCCAAGGATGTGCAAGCACAAGTTTAAAGAATCTGCCATGAAAGGTATCCCTTTGGAAGAAATATATCAAGAGCTTGGGACTAGCAAGGTTAGAGTTTCTGTCTTCATTTGATTATTTGGTTTGTGTCATGTATTTGATAAAGAGTCTAAGTTAAATGTATGTGTGTGTATGCACAGGATATTGACAGCATATTGGTACCAGACCAATATGAAAAATCTCTGTTAGCTGGAATCATTGAAGATAATGTTGATGATGGCCTAGGGCAGATTGATATCATTGTTGACAGTTGGAGAGAGCGTCTAGTAGAAAAGAAGAAAAAGATATGGTGGGAAGGAATGTACCAGCTGGACCAGGCGTCCCGAGAGATTGGAAATAAGTTTCTTGAGAATGAAGACCCTGAGCAAGAAGTCCCTGAGAAAGAGAGTTCTGATATTGCTAACCTTGTTGCATCTATAAACTCACTAACAGAAGTGGTGAACAATGGCTTTCAAACCATTAAGGAGAAGTTTAGTGACATGGAGAATAGAGTGAAGGCTCTTGAAGTTTCTGTGGCATCCCAGGGTCCGGCGTTTACGCCATATGGGTCGCCATATGGGTCGCCTATGGAACCACAATATGGGACAAGATATGATTTTGAGGGTGGGCAGCCGAGTCAACCGAGTCAAACCATGGATTTGGTTTTGTATAATCCCATTTCTCCAATTGTTGCAGAACAAGGTGAGTGTAGAAGTTTTTTGGTTAATTCCTGAACTTTTAAAATAGACTAATAAACTGTTTTCTTTGTACATTGTATGAAGGTGATGAGGAGGAGAAAAGGAATGAGGAAGAGATGAAAGGAAAAGAGAAGAAAAAGGGCAAGAAGACAAAGAAGAGGAAGCAACAAGAGGGTGGACCTGTACTAGCAACCGGACAGAAGCGAACAAGGGCAGCTTCCCAACATATTAAGACACCATTTGTGGAAGTGCAGCCGAAGAGAAGGAGAAAGAAGTAAGAACTATGGTTGATGTGTGCTGGTGGTGTAGGAAAAAACTAAAAAATCTTTTGGACATGATTATTTGTGTTTTGAACAAGTAGGAACTATTGTTGATGTTATTTTGGTTGTACCTGGAGTTAGTACTTGTTATTTTGGTTAATTTTAGATTTCCAACTTTTGGGTACAACTGTGTTCAGTCGGTACAACTGGTCAAGGCAGTACAACTGGTCAAGTCGGTACAACTTCGTGGTACAACTATGTCAAAGCGAAGGCAACTTTTGAAATAAAATTGGTCAAATACTTGTTAAACATTTAGAAATAAAACTAGGTCAAATACTTGTTAACCATTGTCAAATAAAAAATTTGACATTTACAACTAGACGGTACAACTGGTCAAGACGGTACAACTTTGTGGTACAACTATGTCAAAGCAAAGGCATAAATACTTGTTAAACATTTAGAAATAAAACTAGGTTACTAGTTCAAACTTAAGAAACTAATAGGAAATAAAGGAGATTAGTCTACATAGGGTTATTACAAACATAAGAAGTCTACAAAGATTTAGAGGAATACATAAATACATAAGTGGTTATTACTACCACTTAGATAGCAACTCCTTCAGCCTACCAATCTCAGTTTCTTTCTCCTCCAAACGCTTCTGAAGATCATCGACTTGAGCACGCATAATTCGAACAGACTCGCGAAGGGACTCCAACATAGGATTTTGGTAAGCGTGGTGGATTGATTCTTTCTGGGTTTCAAATTTGTTATGGACGACAGTAAACTCCTCATTAACCGCATCATCCCACCACTTTTGAAGGTGTTCTCCACCATCCTAAGCATAAGCATCATTCATCAATCATAAGAAAAACGAATTCATCATCAACAATACAAAAAAATTCATCATACCTCAAAATTTGGACATTTGTATTCCTTTCTTCCTTGATTATTGCCAGTGGTACACACAACAAGCTTAACGTAGGTTCCACAGAAACAATATCTCGGAATACCCCAATTACCGTCAGCTCTTGCCCAACTCATATCCTCACTCGGCTCCGATTCGGAGCTTTGAGTATAACTGATTGGCATTCTCACTGCAACTCCTCAAGAAGAATCAGAAATTTAAAAACCATAGATACAAATCCGAATCTAGGATATACAAATCAAAAACGGAGAACCCCAAATAAGAAAACCGTAGATCCAAATCCGAATCTACAAACCCAAACCCAATCAAAAACGGAGAACCCCAAATAAGAAAACCCTAGATCCAAATCCGAATCGACAAACCCAAACCCTAGATCTAGGAATTAGAAAGCACCAACCTTGATAGATAGGAGTCGTTCGCCGAAATCTCTCCTCTCGCCGTCGGGATCTCCGCTCTCGCTCGCCGGAATTTTACTTCTCTACTTTTCTGGGTTTCGCAAATGAGAGAGAGAGAAACTAGGTAAGAGAGGGAGACAGAGCTTATAATAAAACCCTAGATCTATCGATCTATCTTTCTTTTCCTTTTAAAAGAATATCTAAAAACAAAAAATACTTTTTAAAATAAACTGATGTCCAGTTGTACTTTGGCGGCTGTACTTGTTTAATAGTATTAAATATGAGGGACCCATGATGGCTGAATATACTCATAGTTGTCCAGTTGTACTAGGAGCAACATAGTTGGACTTTTAACACTTTTTCTTGTTTTCAGTTGGACTAGTATTTAAATAACTAATTATAAGTTGGACAAATGATTATTCTTAATTATTTGACATATCCAAGGGTTACATAATATTATATTTACCAAATCATTTGTCCAACTTCTTTCACTATGATTTAGGTTATCTTATAGCAAGTATCCCTTATACTAGAAGGGGTTGTTTGTGTGAGAACATCATTTTCCATAGATTTTTTTAAAAGTTGTATTCAAATGTTTAAATTTTCTTTAAAAGTTAATTCTATTATGATTATATTATAGAATTATTCTTTTATATATATTTTTTTTTAAAATATGTTGTTTTATAATACTATCGTAGTTGTACAAGTTGAACCAGTTGAACCAGTTGAATAGTTAAAGCAAAACTTATGGAACATATTGAAACTTACTTGTAATAGCTGAACTCAGTATATAAACGAATACAAATACAAATTAAAACAAACAGACATGTTCTTAGCTGAACTCAGTTGAACCAGCTGAATTGTTAATGCACAAACGAGACACAGACATGTTCTTAGCTGAACCCAGTTGAACCAGCTGAATTGTTGATGCACATGCGAGAAATACAGGTAAAACACAGAAACGCAAGTTAACCATTCTCATCATTGGGAGAGGGCTGCAACCAACTCTCCAAGTTAATGCCCGGCCGAGCCTTGTTTTGGGTCCTCTTTCGTCGCTTTTCCCCGGTGGATGGAAATCGGGTTTCTTGATTTCTACCTTTCTTTGGTTTGTAATCCGGCGGTTTTGCGATCTTCTCCTCGTAGTCAGCTGGGAAAGTCCATTGAGACTCATGCGGCACAACGTAAATTGTTTTGTAATATGCCAATGCCCACGTCTCGATCAAGTAATATTTCAAACAAAGACCATATATGCTTACATCCGTTGTTCTCCATTCATTCCGACAATGCTTAATGGCTGCGGCTATACCATGGATGCAAGGGTACTTGTCTATATCAAAACACCTACAAGTACAAGATTTCATATCCAAGTCCACTAAATATGTTAAACCATCAACTCCAATTACGCTATATTCGCGTCGGTAGCTGTTAAGCTCAGTGACCGTCAACTTCGCAGCTATAGGACATCGGATATGTAATATATTCTCCACAACAGGCACCACTTGCGTTGTGTTCGATGCATTGGCAGAATCTTTTCGATGTTTGTTGAACCATTCTGAAAACTTCTCCAATATCGCATCAATCATCGGTAAAAGATGGTACTTCCTTACTTCCCTAAACACAGCATTCATTGACTCTGCGGAGTTGCTAGTATCTATGTTGTACTTGTCTCCCTCAGCATGACTCCTAGCCCATTGTTCAACCCCAATGGAATTATCCAAATATTCAGCAGCTCTAGGATACCTTCTCCTAAAATCACCATACTGAATGTTGAACTCTGTCTTAGTATATACATGAGCGCATTCCTTGAATTTATCAACCCCTACGTCCTTGTCCCCAGTCAACTTTGGCCTAAGGTTTTGGGACAAATGCCATATACAATGACCATGTGATGCGTTTGGAAACACATCCATCACTCCCTTGATGATGCTTTGATGTCTGTCGCTTATGAAAACCAAACCATCTTCATCCGGTACTACCTTTCTCAACATTCTAAAAAACCAATTCAAACTAGCATGATTCTCACTATCAATTACACCAAACGCAATGGGGTAATGGTGACGATTAGGATCCTGAGCTGTTGCAATAACTAACATCCCACCATATACAGTTTTCAGAAAAGTTGCATCAATCACTAACACTTTCCTCATTGCCTTAAACCCTTCAATGCTTGCTCCTAAAGCGATAAATAAGTACTTGAACCTCTCTTCCGCATCCAATTCCACTTCCGTTACTGTCCCAGGATTCACCTCTCTCAACATGTGGAGATAAGCATACAACATCGTGTAGCAAACTTCAGGGTTCCCACGCATATCACTAACATGTTGTTTTTTCCCTCTCAAGGCGGTGGAGTAGGAACAATCCAAACCAAGTCTTCCTTTAACAAGAGTCATGATGGTTTTAGGATCCGGTGTTTTCAATTGACCACGAAAGTCCTCATGCAACCTCATGCAAAACACTTGCTACTAATCGTGGTGTGCCTTTTTGTTTAAAATAGCTAGTACTCTCCTCACACCTAGAGCATGTATGCATGTTTTTGTGAACTCTTACACTCCAAAAATCAGATTTCTTTATTCTAGCAACTCTTAAATACCATTCACAACCCATGGAAGCTTGACTGCATTCAATCATAAGTCGCACCGGGTCCGACTTCACACATCTCAGACCAAACAACTCGGCCTTTGCAGCTCTATTAACCAAATCCCATACTGCCTCCTTAGAAGGAAATTCTTGATCTTTTTCCAATTCCAAACCATCTTCCCATTCTTTAACTGTTTCCTCACTTGGTTGTACAGTCCGCGAAAGCTCAACATATTCATGCCTAACATCATTCTCACAATCTTCATTTACACCATTCTCTATCATGAGCTGTTCAATAATCGGTTCATTAACTATAGCAGGCTCTTTCTCTTGTTCTGATCCTTCCCCCCATCTAAACGTACTCAAGTTTGCTTGATTATTTACATCATCAGTCCTTACATCATCAGTCCTTACATCATCAGTCCTTACATCATTGGCAGCCACTTCCCCATAATTCAAACCGCATGAACTTCTTCTCTCTACTCTTGGTACTAGCTCCACCATCTGATTACTTTCAAGATTGCATAACTCCACATGCAAAACTGGTCTAAATCCCTCTTTATCCAATGATGTTAAGAATATACAAACATCCTCATCATCTAAAATATAAGACTCTCTCCTTCCTTTACATATCATGTAACTCAATTTCATCTTCCTTCTCGCTCCGTCTATAGCAATCTTCTTACAGATCTTATCTACCAACACCGGATATGTTATTCTCTCCAAAGATGTTGTCTTAAACATTATAGCATATACTGAATTGTTGCAATTCCACTCATGCTCTTCTGAATAGTACCCTCCATAGTCAAAATATATGTTTGTGTGGATCTTCTTCTTCATCGCACTGCAGATAGAACAAAATAAATCACTAATTTCGATACAACACTTATAACAGTTATACCAATTGTACCAGTCGAACTACACTATCATATATGTACCAGTTGTATTATTCAATTTCAGTTGTACCACGACCTTCTGCAACTAACGATACAAAGGAGGAGCTACATTCTAATTTCCCTCGGATTCAACACGATTCAACTCATAAATCCTACTATCTAGAGATTTCTACATCTACTATTGCCAAACTCTACCATTGCAAATACCTAAACAAACAAATTTCTAAACACTTACTTGGTTCAATCAAGATCCAACAATGGAGGAGAAGAAAGAAGGTCCTACGACGGAGTTCCGTCGAAATGGATGAGTCGACGGTGAGGCTAAGAGGAGGAGCGGGAGTAGACGAAACAAATGACGAGCTCTTAAACTCGATCCAACAATGAAGCTCCAAAACCGGCGCCAGAGCTAATGTCGGACAACGAATCCGACCTCAGCAGCTCCGGAGAATCTTCCGTTTGTCGTCGCCGGAGAAATGAAGACAAAGAACTCGATTGGATTTCGATTTCGATTTCGATTTTTCTTTGTTTTTTGTTTTAAAATTAATTCAATTTCTCCATTAAGGGTATAAAAGTATAATCCACACTATGGGTGGCATTCAGACTTTAAAATGGCAGGCAGGATTAATATTTCCGGTTCAGTGGCAAACAAGCCTCTGGCTCATTTGCATAAGAAAGGTGAGAGAAAGGTTTTAGGGTTTTTTAACTTTTTTTTTTTTGAAAGAATAGTGGAAATGCCCAAAACTAAATAAAGCCCATTTTCATACATCACTTCTCTGTTTTATAGTTTGAGAAATTATCTTAGATTGTGATTTAACGTAATTTTAGTTATAGTAAATATTAAGTGCTATTTTTTTTTTAGTACAATATTCAAATTTTGATTCCTGACCAAAAGAGAATATCTACAGCCAATTAATCTACTTTTCTTTGCAAATTTTAGTTTCTAGTTATAAAACAGGATTAGATGCTAGATGATCTGGTTTGAAACATATCCACATCGTTAACAACAAAATATATCACTCACCCTAATTCCAAGCAGCTGCTTTCAAATAACTTTTCATTTAGGGATCAACGGTAACAGACTCTGATCACAGTCCAACACCATTCCAGATTCGTGGATTACAACCAGCACTAAGAAAATGGTCTAGTTTCTCACTTTGACTTATGAGATCTGTATATTCGCAATTCATAACCATGTGCACAGACGTATTCTCTTTATTATTGAATGTCATGTCAAAAGAATAATCAGTAACCCAACAACATTTGTGTAAAATATCTAGCCAGAAGAAAATAATTACTAACTACAAGAAAAGTAAAAGTTTCCAAGTTAAACTGATTGTTTTCATGTCATTACTTGAGAGAGTACTAATGTTAGTCATAGTGGAAGTTTTTTTTTTTGTTTTCAAAAGTGATTTCGTCTAAATTTTTAGTATTGCATCACATGTTCAATATTTGTACTGACGCCAATAATTTGCTATCCGTTTTTGTTGTTGATTAGTGGTGAAGATCTTGCATGACTAATGTTAATTTTCTAAAATTAAAAAACGTAGATGGCTAGACCTTTGGACAAGTAACCTAAATATTTATTTACATGAAAAGATTTTAACCGATTAGGATGTATATAGATAATTTCCATCTCTTACATCCTCAGAAAATCGACTTCAGCATGGATGATTAACTAAAAATAAGTATAAAATACTTTTGGGTGATATGTAGAGTTAGTTATAACAAGTATTTTTTGAAAAAATAATTTGTTTTATTTTATAGTCCAAACAGTGAAATCTATATAAATTTAGTACTCGATAAATTAATATCTCGTTAAATTAATAATTTTTTCAGTCCTAAATTGATATTTTCGTCCAAATATCATTTATACAAATTAATAACCATGGAAAATTAATAAATTACACTGGTCTCAGTATTATTAATTAATAGAGGTTTTATTA